AAATATGAAAGAAAATAAATATAATAGTAAAAATAAAAATTAATAATATCAATTACTATAGAATATATCTATTCTATAATTTATGAGAATAGTATAATAATATGAGTATAAATATTATTAATACATTGTGTTAAATATCTGAGTATAATAAATGCTCGACTAAGTATTATATCTATTTTTATTTTGTATAAAATCATTAGTAAAGATTATTAATTTTATAACCTGAAATGTATATACTAACAACTTCGTTACGAAGCTACTCATTCGAATTTATATTTAAATGTTTGAATATTTAAATAACTATTATTATGTATTTAACAATTTTTCTACTAAAAAATATCAGCTAATTTTCATTACAATAAAATAAATTCTTATTATTGCAGAATATTCTTTAAATAGTTTAAAAAACTGAAAATAATATAATCTATACAAATATATATAATTAAAAATCAGAACTTGGATAAATGCATTATTAATCAATAAAGCACGCTTGCAGGTAAATCAACCTGTATATTCTGCAAGTTAGTTTAGAAATAGACGTTTCATACGACGCACTTCGTATAAATAAAAAATATAAATATTATAGGGTATGTTTTGTAAAACATAATTTTGCACTTGTTGTAATGATGTTCATTGTAAAGTTTTTCAAAACAAAAACACTTTTGTTGAAAAAATATTCTTTGTTAAATAATAACAACACATTTAAAGTTTTTATCTTATTTAATTTTTTTAATATATTTATATTTTAAAATAGTATTTTTTTGATCAAAAATATTAATGGGCAAAAAAAAAATATTTTAATTTATAATCAAAATTACGTTATTTGCCTATAGGAAAGCAAAATTTAATGTATCGTAACAAAACGCGATGGTATTAATATCGAAATCAAACCAAAACAGTGTTAGTGTTTTTAAAAACAATTTATATAGTGCTGTCTGTGACGGGAAAGCTGATTTTTAATTTTGTTTTGTTTTGGTTTGATTTTACGATTTTTTTTTCTACTTTATCATACTGTCACGAATTGAACATAACGTGTACACTAACAACTCGAGAATAAATAAATTAGAACTAAAATTGTTTTAATTCAATGAAAACTCAAATCGTCACGATTGTGTAGGTGTTAAATTTATGTTTCATTTAACATATTTATATCATATACATAAATATTATTTTCGATGATTAAAAAAAACAAAAATACAAAGGTTTTAAATTTTTGTATACTTCCATCGGGTGAAACGTATAATTAAATTATATTAATAATATATAACTTTGAAACTTCACTAGCACGCTTAGTCTAAAACTCGTGGCGGGAAAAAAAAGCTATACTCGTATTATATAGTTTTAGAAGGATTATGTGTGCTAGTGTATTATTATCTGTGATAGCCGTGTTTGCAGGGAGAACGCTGTAAAATTTCGTATAACCCGTGGTCTATCGATCGGAAATCGAGTACTGATGACGTACTATATTCGGCGTACGCATGGCACTTTTTGGCATTTCCAGCAGATTTCAGTTGAGAATACTATGCAAATATTTTGAAAAATGTAAAAAAAAAAAAAACTTTAAAATCTACAACATAATTTATACTTTATACTTATATATGTATATACACAACACGTTCCGAACAAACCATTTTGATTTTTTCGAATAACTCGAGCTAATTGGAATACATTTACAATATTTTATAATATAGACTATACAGTAAATATTATATTACAGTGAAACTTTTATTAATGGACATTTCTCAATAGTGTACCCTTCCCAATGCTGGACACTTTAAAATTCCCAGCAAAAGTGCATCCACATAATAGGAGTTATAAACTATTAATAATAGACACTTCTAATAATGAACGTGGACACTAAAAAATAGTTCTAAAATTAAAAATTACCTCTCATAAATGGACACAATACATGTACAGATCAAATATATTTAAATAATAAAAATACTTTATTTATCTTTAATACATTTCGCTCATATTTTATCTTATCTTAAAGGTTTTCCTATTCGAAAAATTACAAATGGTTCGGTTATGTGTTCGATTATCAGTTGTATGCTACGTACCTACGTTAACATTTTTATAAACACTTTATATTTTTATATATTATATAGTAAAATATTATAAATTTAATAATAATAAATAAATATTGCAATGTATATCAATTTAAATGTATATATATATATGTAATATGTATATGTATAACTAATTCTTTATAGCGTCTCTCTACAGTGGACATTTAGTGATTTATCGCAAATATCCATGTAAAGATTTTCTCAGTAGTGGATAACTCCCTATAGTGGATATTTTTTAATTCCCCATGAATCTTCGCTATATAAAAGTTTCACTGTATACCTATAGATTGTCGGTAATACAATTATTTCCAAGAAGCTAAAAACGTCAATGAACTAATTGCAATATAATATAATGATACATTTATTTAATATTACAGCAATATTCTTTTTATTAATTGCATATGTTGAATATTGAAAAATGATAAAATAACATTTTGTTTGATCGTTGATTTATAGTTATCTTTCGAAATCTTTGATCAAAGTTTTATTTTTTTCTAGGCATACACGTGCTGCTAAACGAATTATTACCAGGTATAGCTATAGTTAAACACTCGAGTATATTATGGTCCTTCTCAGAATGCAACGACTTGTGATTTAAAATTATAATTATTGATTACATCGCGATGAGTGCTCAATAAAATATTGTCTATGACCTATGTGTTATTTTAAAATTCTAATCATTAACTGCGTACTGACATACAATTACTAAGAAATATTAATGATCTTGAATAATGTATTTTTTGTCAAAAACGATGTTTTTTTTTTTAATTAAATAAGTGATTAAAAATAAATACTAAAACGTAATTGGTAAAAAATATTGCTACATCAAAAACTGAAACGCGTTCATATTACAGTACCTATTAGTTAATCAGAACGAGTTTCATATGTTTTGTAATAACCGAAATATAATAAATTACACGCGTTAAATGATTATCTGCAAGAAAAAAAATGTTTACAAAGTTTTTAATGCGTTGGTATTTTTTATTTTTTTGTTTGCGACTTTTTTTTCCCCGCGAACGATAATATCCGGCTTACAAGCATAAGTAGAAAAATAAACTAGCGAAAAAATAAATAATAATAATAAATAGATCAGTCTTTTTTTTTTTTGTAAAATTTCTAACCCTAAACAGATTAAACGCTCGATTACTTATACGTTTAATATTATTTAACTAACATTTAATACGTTCTATATGAAATAGGTTTATTTCTATACAAATTAAAATTTTATTAAAAATTATAATACAGATATTACAGTGTTTAATTGACTTAGTGGATATTTTAAAGACGTTAAGTGTTTGAAAATCGCGTTTAGAATTTTTAGTACGCGTCTTTCAAAAACATAATATATTGTATTATTATTTATGACAAAATTTACTCATGTAATTTAGAACATTTTATAATACAATTTATAAATGCTTATTATTTTATCACATAAATTATCACTATGATATTAATTAAAAATTACAAAATTAACAATGAAATATGATAATTTAATTCAAATATTATGAGAAAATTTATAAATTTAATGAAATATTTTTAAATGAGTATATATGGAAATGAAAAACTCATAAATTACTCATCAGTCTAAAATTTGAAAAAAAAAATAAAATAAACTAATTATAAAAATGGCAAAATACAATAAATAAGTGCGATGATTTTATACAGAATAATAAATTATGTTTAGAATATTTTCATTAAATAATATGGTTAAGTATAGACATTCAATACAATATTAAAATAGCTTAATGTAGTTGCGTTTAATTTAATATGCTTTAAGAAATTTAATAATGCATTGCATTTTAAAAAGGGTTTAGAGTGAATCTAGGATTTTTAAAGTAAAATATGCATTTTTAATAACATTTTTTTTTTTAATTTTATAGACTTTTAGGGTTTTTACTCAACTGATAATCTAAAAATCATATTAATTTAAGTTTAAATTGTATGTGTTATACGATTTTATGTTTCTCGGACAATTCACACAAATTTACATATACATTCCGAGTAAAAAATACGTTCTCGTTATATTATAATTATAGTACATCAATAAAGTGTAGTGCTATATTATTTAAGTAAAAAGTGAAAACTTACCTATCCAATTATTATAGTAAACATTTATTCTATAATATAATCGCTATTTATTATATATTTTAGATTAGAATAATTATAAAAAGCTTGAAATAACTGAAAAAAAATCTAAGGAAAAATGTCAAATTTTACACAAAACCAGTTTTTGATCTTATCAATGTTTGATATTTAAACAGAGAATACAAATTTTAATTAATTTGTTAAAATTCAAAAATATTTTCTATAGAGATTAGAAATTTTTACGTAAATTACTATATTGTATACCTATATTCAATGACATTTTCAAAATATTTAGATTCATTTTATGTTATTGCTTACTTTAAGCTTTTATCATTTCAAGTAAAATATATTAATTTAATAATATTAATAGTAATATATTTATATGATTATAGGCAGGCTTTTTCATATGAAATTTTTCATCATTAAATTAAAATTTAACACATTCATTTTAGTGACCTATTTATCAATGACGAGATATTAATACCTAAAATCGCCTCCTACTGTATAGCACGCTAGTTGCTAATTGTTTCCCACCAAGTTCTTTATTTTTTTTTAATAGTACTAAGCACTTTTAATAAAATAATATTTTTGTGAATTCAGTACATTTTTATTATCATACATAAATATATTGCTATAAATTTGATTTAAATATTTATAAATTCAAGGATATTTATACGTAAACATAGGTATATCAAAATTCATAAAAACTCAATTATTATAATACACGGTGTATTAATTAGATATTTAATCAGAAATGCATAAAATAACACCATTTTATTGGTCATGACGTATTTAAAAAGGTAAAAAAAAAAAAAAAAAAAAAACTGAAAACTAACTACAGTTGACTACTGTTAGTTACAATTATTTAGGTTGTTAACTCGTAACAAATGTCCAAAACTATAATAACAATAATAATCGTATAGATTTCCGCTGCCCCCCAATACTCCGTTTGAGATACAAAATTTGCTGATGCCTGCCTTTTGAACGACAGAGGCATATAAATATCAGCTGACCATATCAATGAGGCACCATTTGTGTTAGTCGATCATCAAAGTCGTCAAACATGAAGTCTGCTTTAGTTATTGCGTCGGTTCTTTTGGCCGGTGTGGTCTTCGAAGTCACCGCCCGAAACGTCTATGACAATCAAAACCAGAATGAAAACAGTAAGTACTAAGTATACACATTTTTCAAAGGGTGAGACCGTTTTCGTTCAAAAACGTACCTTTCACTTTTCGGCCGATTCACTTTTTAACCAAAATCGTACTCCTCCCTTTTCGGCCAAAACAAAATTTTATGTAATACATGTAAAAATCAGGACAATCGTATAATTATATAATTTTGAAAATGATTAAAAGTATAAGTTGCATAAAATGTTGTAAAATAAAATATAGAAAATTATTTAAAATATAAGAATATCTATATAAATTAACATTATTTTTTTATTTTTTTATATGTCACAAACCTACTTATGTGATTTAAATTTTATTTTTTTTTATTTAATATTATACAAATTACATACTGCGACATATTAAAATAAAAATAATGTCAATATATTGATATTCTTATATTTTAAATCATTTTCTACATTTTGTTTTACAACATTTTATACACTTAACACTTTAAATTATTTTTGAAATTATATAATTATATAATTGCCCTAATTTTACAAGAATTATACATATACCAATTATTTTATTTTTTACATATTATATTATATAAAATTTTGTTTTAGTCGAAAAATGAATCGGCTAAAAAGGGAAGGGTACGATTTTAGTCAAAAACGGCCATCCCCTTTTCAAATACTACTCTCCAAACACTTTAAACTAATAGACGCGCCACACACTTTAAATTAAAATGCTTAGACTTTAAATACAATCGTTATTTTTAGACAACCAGTGGGTCCGTTTCCAACAAGGAGATTCCAGCGATGAGTCTGCAGAACCGACCTTAAATGAATATCAAAACAACAACAAATTCAACTACGTCCTAAATAACTATGAATCAGAATCTACTTTTGCCGACCGTTCACGACAGAACAATCAAAACGATGAAACACACTTCGGTTCCAGCCAAGAGTCGAGTCAACAACAGCAGCACAGAAGCCAAAACCAGTTCACGGCTGTCAGCCAGCCCGAAGGGCTCGCCAAGGCAATGATCGAGAAAATCGCTACTATTCAGAAAATTGCCGTTGAACAAAATATCGCCGACAGTGCAGATTTCCTAGATGCAGCGCTCACCATCAACCAAAACTACGTCAAATTCCCAAAACACAATTATGTGTCGTTTTTCAACTCAACCATGAAAAACCTTGACAGCGGTGATTTGGAATACATGTACCTGAACCCTGAAAAAGATACTGTGTTTGCCCAGTACCAATTCAACGATATCAAAACCGTCGGATCGTTCAAGTCCAACATCCCCCACGCTCATTCGGGTTACTACACGATCGTCATGAACAACGTGCTCAGCAACTTGTCGACCGGATTCTACGATGACAAACACGCCGTGATCAAGGCAGCTAAATTCCAATACGCCGACGCCAACGTCATGACACACGACGGTTCTGAAACGCAGGTGTTAAGCCCGGCTCTGGAACAAAAATTTTTGGGAGTGTTGGCCAACGCCGTGTCCAACGAAGTTAAGAAGTCCGCCAACAAAGGCGCACTCGTCCATATTAAAAACGAAATCCGTAAGCCAATTGAAATGAACATGGCTAGTAAGTACACCAACAAGCTGTTCGACTTGAGATGGCAGGAGGACCAAGTCAGCATGGAAATGTCTAACATCGGTTTCAAGAACTCCGAAGAACTGAAACGGGCAGCCGAACATTTATTGAACTCTGTGTCTTTCCAACGCAAATCCCAAGACTCCTACAGGATGCGTTACGACTTTGCCATCAACAACCTGGAATGGACTTCGGCTATGAACGTCGTGTCGGCTGGCAAGAGCATGACCACAGATCCAATCAAATTCACCATCGAGAAAGTAAACATCAAAGTTCACATCGACAAGTCCGTGCACAACCAGCAACAACAACAGTCATATGACAAGGCTTACACCAACGTAGAAATACGAGGTCTTCATTACAACTTGAGACACGTCCAATCTGAACTTGTATCCAACCTTGAAAATGAACTCCAACGTTTCATGGAACTATCTTTGGGATCTTGCATTCAAGATTCTTTGGTACAAGAACTAAACAACTCCAACCGTCAATATTAAATTGACCAATTAATTTTTAAACATATGTTATTTAAAATAAATTACATAGAATAAGCAATAGTATAAACGTTCAACATATTATTTCCTTTAATTTTTAATTTTACAATAGTTTTATAATTTTATTATCTACAAAATAAATTTAATATCTAATACAACAAATGAAATTTTTATATTTATTAAAAAAAAAAATAAATATTATTATTAATAATTGTAACTATAAGTTCAATCGGTAAAAACAGCTATTTAATTCAAGATTTATTGATTTTTATGGGTACTGGTGGAGGGAGGTATATGAGGTATACTGAAGTATAGAAATAACATATAATTTTGACGAAAATAAATTATGATACAAGTATACCTATATTTTGTTTTTAGTTAATTCATTGCATTCATATGATTGCTTAATATTGTCAATACTCAATCATTGTTCATATTCATATTACTTATTGTTGTGAACGGCTTCAACTATACCGACAAGATCGTGCCCGTATTATTTTATACATATTATAATAAAGAGAAATATGAAAATTATAAGATTTTAGTGAGCAGGGACATAAATATGAAATCAAATTTACACTTTATAGCATCAATTTTATAGATTAAAAAAAAAAAAAAGCGTGTTATTAATAATAATAACGTATCATATTTAAATTAACTATCTAATGAATCAATAATGATATAATACGTTATCTAAAACTAAATATTTATAAATATGATAGACGTGTATTTTATGATATATACTGATATAATATAGTTAATAAGTAATAACTATATTATGTTTAATGAATATAATATACATATAAGTGATGATAATGTCAATGTAAATGATATTAATTCAAAGTCATTAATCATGGTAATTAATTAGATACTGCCTAAAATACGAATTAAGATACATGAGTACCTAGTATTATTATTCACAGCAAATTATGCACACTATTATAATACATTGTACCTAATGCCATTGCTGTAACGCTGAAATCTACGCATAAACGAAAAACAGTCATTGTCTTATATGTGGCTCTTGCTAATGACAATACCGTATCTAATCGACAAAAAAAAAAAAAAAAATAATAATAATAAGTAGTTCGATTGTGCACGATACAAGAACTAAACAAATATTACAAGTATTATATAATACCTAACAGCAATAAATATATAATAATAACCATTGTTAATTAATATTTGTCTGCGTACCTACTAGTATTAATAATATTTTAAACACAGAGAACACCGATTATTATTTTTGAAGGTCCACTTTAGGACTTCAGGAAGATTTCGGGAGCAATCAACATTCAATGTACCTACATTATTATAATGTTCCCAAATAAGAAAATATAGGCAAAATCAAAACATAAATAAAAACTTTTTTAAAAATCCCTATGTTAAAGATATAAATGGTTTTTTTGTGGGTCAGATACAGCATTACGTCCGCTATTTAGTGATCTCTATTTTAGCTGGAATATAGCATATTATTATCATCATACCTGCAGTACAATCGGGTAAACGAAAAAAACATACGTTTATATTATGTATAATCGTGTATTTGTACACCGCAATTTAGGATCATCAAATAATATAATATTCAAATAATTTATTTTTTTACTCGGTGTCGTACGTTTGAACACGTAGCCGATTACAATAAAAAAAAAAAAAAAAAAAAAAAAAAATCGGTTCTAATGAAATATAAATAAAATATTTATGTAAATAATAATTATAAATACAAGTATAAATGAATGACCGGGGTCAATAGAAAACGCTAATATGATCTACGTGTCGTCATAATATTACTACAACATTGTTACAATACTGCAGTATTACGGTGACGATCTTTGTACGCGCATTTTTCACTTCGTCAGTTAATCATATCGTTTGGGCACTTCTGGCATTCCGGCTATTACACGGTCTTCGATGTGACACTCGTTGTTTCCCCTGAGTATCCTGAACAGTCCGTTCTCGCCCCACGACCGGCTCCACGAATTGGCACACAGCCAATACTTAGTGCCGTTGTCTACGCCCCAGCCCAAAATCTTGATGGCGTGACCGCCTTCTATCTGACCTCTCGTGTAACTGTACACTCCTTTGAAACAAGGAAAAAAATATACATCACGTGAATCAAAACAAGACCGACATAACTGCAGCGTTATAATGATAAGTATATTATTATTATACTTATCACTTATGATAGGTACGCGTAATATATGTATAGTTACCGTCAATGTCGGTAATCAGATATTTTCAGACTAGTCGTTATTGATAACGTGATAGATTCGGACGTGGACATCGGCCGCGAAATTGCGGAAATACGACACACTCAATGATTTACGTCGCAGATAGACAAAACGGACGATATTATTAATTAGTTTTTAATTTATTTAGTACGAACTCAAATCAACTAAATCGAATTTTTTGTTATTTCACATTTTACTGTTATACATAGTTACCTACTATAATATTCTTAAAATATGTTATTTAATTCAGTTTCTACAAGTTTGAGTACCTATTCGGCATTTTGAATACACGCGCCGACTTTTGCGAGCTTGCGTGTTTCAAAAGCAAAAGGTTATAAGCGGAAAATTTCAAATTCAATGTGAATAATTGTAGACACGTCACACCTACGTGTCTTCTACCATATCACAGTAGTACGAAGTGCTTTGAATTCCAAATTTTTTCTTATGCAAATATTTAGCACATATCTGCTCAATGTTTTCGAAATTAGCACGTAAATATGACCAATAAATCGATAGCCAGCTTAAAAAATTCTTGCGACGACGTTGAATAAACTTAACAGTCAATTACTCATATATACAGTGATTATAGTGATTGCCACGGTGGCCGGCATTACTTGAATCACCAAAAAATCACCGACATTGACCGTAACTTATAGTTGAAAACTTACCGGTTTTGTAGTACATAAAATCTGTGTACACATAAAAAGCTGCTTGAACGGGACCGTATTTGTATATATCGGTCATGATGTCTTCTTCGGATTTTAACGAATACACGGTATCAACTGAAAACGTGTTTTATGAATGAATTAATGGACAAAACCTATATAAGTTGATTATTTTATAATAATAATAGTAATAATGATAATGTTAAAAGGTACAATACGGTCAATAGACCTATTATGGTTCATATCATGTCCAGCGACAATAATTAAGTATAATAATAATATGTCTAATAAACTGCAGTACCTACCATAATGCAAATCAGCTCTGTAGTTTTTCGTGTAATTCGAGTTTGTGCACGTTTTTATCGAACAATCGGGTGTATCAGGATCGACGTCTATGCAAGTATTCCTTCCTTTTCCACACGGATAAATACTGTATGGTTGACAACCCTTGGGGCGGAAAATATAGCAATAATGTTACATTAAAATATTAAATACATACGTGTATTTTAATAAACGGTAAGTACTTGCAATCAATGGCGATTGGGTACTTGAAATAAATGTTAATCATTTGTAAAATCATAAGCAATAGAAATAATTTATTAAAGTATTACTTCTAAGTCGTACACTAGTAATCAATTACGAGTACATAGGGTGTTTGTACATAGTCACGTTGACAGCGTACAGGGTTAGTTATACTAGTTTATCGTACGTCCCTCCCCGATGTACTACATCAAAAGTATTATAATCTACCATTTGTGTGTGTTACAATGCTTGAATTGGAAAAATGCTTAAAAGGGAGATGCAAAAGTGTAAAAAAAAATGTGCATATGTTTTTGAACGTTGTTTTTGATTAGGATGAGTAATTAGGTCAGGCTAAAATATTTTTAAAAATAGCATAGGCTCCATCTCAACGTATTCTCGCTCAATAATTCAAACATCGTGTGTGTGTGTGTGTGTGTGTGTGTGTGTGTTTGTATTATTATACTTATTTTTCGGCTCACTTCTTTGGAATCGTAATCCCCGCCCGTGACGATGCCGTGCCGCCTGAAGAAATACCACGCTGATTCTGGCGACCCGCCATCACATCCGTGACCGCATCGATAACAACAAGTGTTCAACTGTTCGGCTGATAAGTTTCTGGCCACCTTGCCCTCAGTGGCTATGCAAAGGCGGTCGCTGAACACAGAAGCCGCAGACACGGCCTACAATTTTTTTGCATTATTATTCCAATCAACTAATTTTATAGTAAATAATAAACATAAATAACCATTTTTATTTTATAAATCAATCGAAACGTTATGCTTTCAGTTTTTTGATACTTAGAAATGTATTCTCAAGATTTAAATTCACATGGTTTATTATGAACGTCTCGATTGGATATAAGCATAAGCTTAAAAATAAGATATAAAAAATTAAGATTACTTAATAAAGGTATTCGTAACAACTATAATTAAAAATGTTTTAAATTTAAAAAAATGGATTTTACTCACAAATCATCATATATATAGGTACTTTAAATAAAACACTTTAAACTATTAAATTAATAACTAATCGCATCGTTGAAAATATCGTTCGAAGTATGGGATTCGAGGTTAGTGATTAAATGGCTTGCAAATTAAAGTACTTGCGTCGATATTGTAATATTATGTACCCACTTATAATAATACCATTTAGATAGTTTTTAGTAGCTAGTACTCAATAGCCTTATCTATTTTATACGGTTGTATTTGTATACAATATTATGCACCACAACAGGCAATCCAAAGAAAATCAAAATTCAACAGTAAACTTATATTAACAATTTAAAATATTATATATATTATGTAAAAGAACATTTTTAATGTGAACTATTTTTAAGTTTTTAAAAAAATAAAATCAATATCCATTTATAATTTTAAGTTTGAAAAACTTATATTTGTTAAATTAAATTTTTGATAACGAAAAAAAAAAAAATCAAATATTGTCAAATAGTGGGGCGGAGAAGGAGAGTGAACATTTAACGATATTACTGTTTGGTAGGCATTTATTTTAAACGCCATTCAGTTTTAAGCCGCGGCTTAAATTATTATTGGTTTAAAATTTAAATTATTGTGCCAATTTGAGGATAAATACAATATTTCGTGTGTGAGCCATGTACAGTTTACAGTTTATAATATGCGTGTATTATAATACGGTCACATAATGAACTAATCAATTAGTATACATTCAATATCAGTATTTTAGTTAATCCTAGATAAATGTTAATATTGTAATGTGATAATAAGTTCGATATAAATGTGTGCTAGTGACCAGTGCGAATTTCAAATTAAATGAAAAATGGCTTACTTAAAGTATGTTTATTTATTTCAGTTAACAATTTGTTTATTCAAGTATATTGGAAGTATATTGGTAATTACTTTATATATCAATATATACTATAGTATCAATTATTTTACAACTATTAACTTCTAGTTAAAAAAAGTTAATTCTTGTTCATATAAGTCTTATTTTGTTTATAACGATTAATATTAATAACTTAAATTGTATGTAGGTACACGGTTTAATCACTGCTATAACCACAATAAAATATTAAGTATATTTTCAAAGGTTCTACTGACGTATGGATATATTACATATAATTATGTTAAATTTAGGTAAGTACTATCTAAAATAATAAGTACTTATAAAAAAAAATTCTTGTAAAATCAATAAATAAAAAGGGCAGAAAAAATGGATTTGGTATGTTTATCGTTGTAGACTACCGGACTATTTACCTTGCATTCCATCTCTGTTTATAAGCCACACTGGTTGTTTCCTGGCACTGATTCATAAAACACACATTACATAATTATGTGCAGGGGAAGTATATTTTAACATAGAACGCCCATAAATGTCAGACAATATAAACCGATAAGTAGAATGCTACACTTTAAATTTTGACGGTGTATTATATTATATTATGTTCACTTGTTATTTTAGTCATATTATCTAATTTTTAAATCATAAATAAAAAGGGGGAAAACAGGTAACCACTTCTCCGTACAATATATTTCGAGTGCATTTTGTCATTGAGTTGGCCACTAATAATGGATGTTTTGAATTTAAATTCAATGATAAATTTTTTTTTATTGAACTTAAGCCCGGCAACTAGGGCCATTAGCTGTTTGTAGGGGTTATGAACTGTGGTAGGGGGTAAGGTTGGTATGGTAGGTTGTATTTTTACGATTGTTACGGTTGATAGCAAACACGTGTAAGTGTGGCAAGGTTTTTAACCACTATGATCCCGAGTGGTCATCCATCCGGTAGCTAGTAGCTGTGGCCGTTACTTACTCTCAGTTGCCTTCCGCAACTGAAAGCAGCCAACGCGCCACGCCAAGCCACTCAATGATAAATTATTACATACCAAAAACGATTTTGAGCGAAGATGATCAACATAGATATATATTCATATTACTATCAAAATATTGTTTTACTACTGGTTGTAGGTTAAATTGTTTTTTACAAAAAACATTGCATTTGAAAATTGCATTGTATACATGAAATATAATAATATAAGTTAAAAGTTTCAAGTACCCATAAATAATATTTTTTAAATTACTACAAAACAGTTAAAACCGTTAACTTTTTGGTTTAAATAATATTATATTATAATTTTGTCAAAGTTTAAGTTCAAAATGTATATAAAAGACAACCCTGTATTCCTATTTGTATATTTTTTTAGCTAACTAAATTTTAATCTTGAGCTACGAAATTTGAATATTTTTAAGTATTTAATCACAAAAAAAAACTATGAATTTTCGTAATTAAGACCAATTTTGGAAACATTTTAAGTTCAGATGCTTATAAAAAAAAATTGCACCTAAATATCTTTAATGTTTTTAAATAACTCTAAAAACAACTTATGAGGAATTTTCTATTAAATTTTAAAGTTTTTTGATCAAGTGAGATTTTTTTTATCAAGGGTAAAAAAATTGAAAGTATCATGTATCTATCAGCTTAAAACTTATCAAAATAAATTTAAAATGTTGGTGACCATTTTGAAGCATTTACGATTTTTGAGATGTATCTAAAATTCAAAATCGATTTTGTCAAATTCTGATTTTTTTAAAACCTCCTGCAGTTTGTTTATATTTTTTTTTCTGATTATTTTGATAAATTTTGACTTTCCAAAAGTATCGATTAGATTCAATTTTCTACCAGAAACCATCTTCAACGTTGAATTATTCGTGTATACGTATACATAAAACTAAACACGTCATTGTAAAATCAATACATGAATGCAATGATAATTTGCTCATAATCTAAATATATATAAATATATATATATAATTTATCATTCTATTGATATTTGATATATTCGATACACCATAATATTTAGAAAAGTGTAATTCTATTTCAGATTGAAAAATAAAAAAAAATATAAATACATTTTGAAAATGTTAATTGTTTTTGTATTAGGTACATAATATGAGGTACGTATTATGGTAAGTCATATACTATGTATGAATTGTATGTACTTATTATACTTTATTATATTTAATTTCATAATATATTATACTCACCCAACACGATCCACAGTTAGATTGGTCTTTGATCGAACTCAACAAGGACGAGCACTCGGGCCATCGCTTTCTGGCATCGAAATTCTCGGGGAGGGCTTCGTTGGAGTCTCTCTCGGCACTTGTTTTGATCGGAGCGAATCTGAACGCATTTCCATCCCTGGGTAATACACCCATCAACTGTTCGAAATTATCTCCGTCTCCTGGAATAACGTTTGTGTCGCTGGCCTGAAACACGACCGTAAAAAACCGGTCGAAACTAAATTGAAAACCGTTATTTTTAAAATTATTTTCATCGTCATTTAAACCGAAATCGATAAGTCAATTTTAGCTACATACTTTTAGTTAAAGTATATGTTGAGACTTGAGTTTTAATTTTATACATTTAAAGAAACTAACCTATATAGTATGTACACACATTATTTTTATAATATAAAATTTAAAATCAAAATGATGTCTCGTTGCATATTTATTATTAAATGTTAGGCACCTTGACCATTGTTGTGATTTCTGCAAGAAGGTGATATTTGATATGTATTAACAACTCGCAATAAAAAAAGATCATTAAAACATTATGCAAAGGAACGATCAATAAAATACGGCGAAAATGTTTGATTTTATTTTTTCCGAAAATTATATATTAGAAATTGTAATGTATACAGTATACACTATACGTGCTAGTGTCAATACTCAATAGATTTATCTGTATTAATTAAATATATTTTAATACCTAGGCATATATTATGTAAAATAAGGAAATCATAATAATACAGTAGCTTATCGAATGTTATACGCCCCTCAGACATAACTAATAATTTATTAATAACTGTAAACCGGCCATGTATAAATTCGACCGAGATAGCCCAATTATTTAATAGACACAACATTATTAGTTAATTTAAGAACCTTTTTAAGCATGTTGTGTTTGCGTATTAATATATTGTTGTGTAGCTTACACGTACATTCAAGACTTTGTCCAATAGGTTACAAATCGGCATCATTTTTTACAAACGACTTACAACAGAATGTAACGTCAACACATTTTTTATAACTGTGGAAAAAAACATAACTCGAGGTTACCGATCTTACAAAGTTGGAGTGAAAACTTTAAGTATATGAGAAAAATCGTCTACGTTCAATCGACACACGAGAAGCTACTGGGTCTTGTCATGGATTAATATTAAGTGTTTTCTCGTATCGACCATTTATCGACTTTTATATAAGTAGACTATATAGAAATCTATTATTAAAGTTGTCAAAATAAAAACCGTTTTTTTATTTATAAACGTCACGCAAACTCTAATGTATTGCTGTATTTATAAATAACTAAATTCATAAAACTATAATCATATGAAATCATAACACTATTTTATGCAATTCTCAATCTCGATTTGTCTTTTCATAAATGTCATTGGATATATAACGTAAAAAATGAAAAGCACATTTGATAGTTCTTCTTACATTCTCACTTTCAATAATCACGTACAATAATTGCGTTTTTAAGAATATATTATTATAATTTGCAGATGAAAAATATATTATATTACAGTATATAGCTGTGTACAATATTATCATACATTCACGTGTATAATTTGCACAACGATGAAATTACTTAACTTGAACTCAATGGCTGTAGTATTGCAATACATACCCTCCACGTGCTGTCTGGATCTCCGTTCACCGACTCGATAATAAACGTCGCTTCGCTCATCACCGCTGAAGATTCGTGGACGGTGACTGCCATCACCGCCGCCAGGACGATCAAAATACTTTTGGACATTTTTCTTCCCAGTCGAATTGCACGAATCTGCCCGCGGTCTTGCGACTGTAGACCGTATTTGAAAACGTCTACTCGAGTGTCGGCGATGAACACTATTCGATGTTTTTTGTTTTACGTTTCAATTGCCTCTTCCAATCAAATATTATGTTATCAATCGTTATCGCGGACACTTGTCGGAACCATCGTTGAAAATATGAGAGTTGAGACCTAAACGACAATATCTCTCAACGCTTAACACCATATTATGCGTCACGTAGCTGGTCTGAGACAAAATAACATAACCTTAGGACTTGAAGTTAATTGACGATAAACAGGGCAGGACGATATCATCAGAAGATATTACACATATTAAATTTAAATCACGTATGCTTGTATATGTGCGCTAGACTAATAATAATCTGCATTTGTATAAGTGGATTAAATTTTATAGATGAAATCAATTTGATGCTATGATGACACCTATACATTCTCAACAATTAGCTTTCATTATTCATACAATATTAAATCGATTGCCATTTTTCCATATTTCAGTAGTAACTGAAGTAAGTTAGTGGTAAACTTATGAGGCTGAAAAATGAAAGGTTGCAAATCTATTTGATTGTTAGTAACGTTTTTGAATTTCTAAGTAAACAGAAGAAAGAAAAATCATACTTTTAAACTCCTTTTTTTTTTTTCAAATCAGACTTTTCTTTTCCTACCTAAGTTGACTTTTTGAAAATGTTGATCCTATTAGTCGAAATTTAAACAGACATTTTCAGAATTAATAACCTTTAGTTAAGTAAAAATGGTAATAATATAATCTATGATATTTGGTTTAGAATATATTATGAGACATATATTCTCTAATAATTATAAATTACATTAAATAAAATTAATAAATAATTATATAATTTGTATAAATTTTTGAATTTTATTAAGTATTCTTTTTTTTTTTTTTTTACAAACCCATTTCTATTGAATAAGAATCATTATCCGTGTAATGTAAAAATTACTAACTCGAAAATACTCGAATATATAATTTTGGTTTAGATTCGTCAATATTTTCAAAAATGTTATGATTAATAATCAGTTTACTGAAGAAAATGGCGGTTTTCAAGAAAAGAAGTTTTTACTATAATAGAACATTCTACCATTACTATAAAATATATGAAATTACTTGAACATGATACATTCTTTAAATATTATACTTTATTAACAATTTAAGAATTTTAAAATATAATCTTTTAGTAATTTATAAAATTTCAATATCCAGAATCCAAAAAATGAAAAAATAAAGAATATTCGTGGTAAGTGTAGTGGCAAACTTGGAGAATCATTCTGTATATTATATTAATTATCGATGTATCGAGATTTTAATAGGCGTTTTAAGCGTGTTGAATTTGTATTTGAACTTTGTATCAACGTAATAATACAAAAATATACAATAATATTTTTATTGGAAATCAGTTTTAAAACAGTTTTTATGATCTTCTTGATAACCTCCGGTACCATAAAAATAAACTTAATAACATTAAATTTATTCTGGTTTAAATAATTAAAATGTTTTCCAAATTTCTTCATAACATTCATTCATTCATTCAAAACAATTAAAAACTATGTATGTATTAGACAAATAAAATGTATAAAAAAAACTAAATAGATTATTATTATGATAAATTTCAAGTGTCGTGTATAAAATGTTGTCTACATAAAAAAAAATTAGGCGGTATTTAATTGGTTCCTTTAAAATTTTGTTCTTTTTATTCATTGAATTTATTTATTACTTTTTTTTTTTAATCAATAATATTTATATGAAATATACATATTTAAAGAATATAAAACGATTATTTTCAAAAAACTGTTTACATTTCTCAGCATCATTCTTTCAATTTTTTTAAATCTATAACATTGTTCAATAAAAGTCAGACTCAATTTTTAAGAATATTTCATAATTTACTTAGGTATATTACTATCAGTAACTTATTGTTTACTAATAATACAGTAGGGCAAACTCATTGTTTTCAAAAATATAAAATATATTAAACTATAAACTATAAATATTATATTTAATAACTTAAAAGTCAGTATTCAAATGCACCATATAATGTTGTCAATAGATTTTTAATTTTATACCTATTTCGTCTCTTACATATGAAAACAATATCAATAATCTAAGGTACTACTTAGGTAATACAATTCTATGAGGTATAATTGAGCTCGATCGTATGTATACTCACATATTATATCTGATTTACTAATGTGTACTTTATAAGTATGTAACAATACAATTTTTTTTTTAATTTACTGTAGAAAATAAAACAAAATTAATTCGTTAAATAGAAATTTTTTAAACAAAAATTTTATGGTTTTATAAAATGTTTTGTTATACAGAGAGTTTTATTAAATATAAATTTTTCTACGAGAGGTTCCGTAGTAGTTTAAAATTAATCAATCAGGAATTGTAAAAACTTAAAATGCTTACAAAAAAGTTTTAACAATATATTTTTTTATATTTTGAATTACCATTAAAACAACTTAATACGATTAATAATGCATTAAATTATACATTTTCAGGTAAAAATTTACTTACAAGCAAACATTAATTCATATTACATTAATCGAAAAAAAGTCATAAAAAGTCAACACTTCTAAAATTCAATAAGTAGTACTAAAATATATTGATGACAAAAATAAATTCATTAAAAAAAAAAATCAATTTTTTCAAAAATTAGTTGCACTTTAGTTAAAAATAATTTGCAAACAGAAATCAATTTTAAAGTTAAAACATTTTTTTACTGCTCCTAAAGATAAAATAAGGCATAAAATCATAATTGTAATATTTTTTATTATAAATACATTCATTACTCCGCTTAAAATTTAAATAAAAACTGTGTATTATTATTTTTTGCGAATTCTTAAAAATTTGTATAAATATGTATACAATGTATACGTCAATACATTTAATGTATCCATTATTACTATTAAATACCTACGTACTCGTATAATATTTTAGTATTTTTTTTCTACTTATTATGTAATCAATTGCAGCTAAATGATTTCTATTTTTAATTTAATCTATTCTATAACTTTGATATACGAGTAGCTATGGTTGTGTTATTTTTATAATTATTATTTAATTAAAAATAATCATTTTTACTCTGATTGAATATAATTAATTGATAATTACTTAAAAAATATAATTTTTATGCTGACATTATTAATCGCTATATTTTAAAGTAATTTTTATGACGATTTCACAATTTTCAATTATTTTTTTTGTAATCTGACTGAAAAATAAAATTACTTGTAAAATTCCGACCAACTATACAGTAAAATACAATAAGTTGCATTAAGATTATAAAATTAATTAATTCAAAAATTTAAAATAATGGTTTACACTAGTACCATTCAGATTCTAAGAACTTAAGACTTATAATGAAGAGTATAAAAGATATGTTGATGTATAATCATATTAATTATCTCTAGTAAGTTCAATTTATTTCAATTACTTAGTTATAATACTCGTAAATTTGAGAATTTTCAAAAAAGAGGCTAAACATCAACTGAATGATGTTAAGTTATAAGATTCTATCTAAAAAAAAGTAGTAAAATATATGTGTATAAGATATTTTGTGTAAATATAAAATATATATTAATTAATTAATTAAATAATTGAAAGTAGCACGAAATATTGGCTGAAATATTTTAACATTTATATTGTACATATTATCATCATTAAATGTAAGATCCGTCATAAAAATTAGTGCGCCATGTGCGCCACGTTAATTTTAAACTTATTCATTATTCGTTTTACGTTCCTGGAATCTAAAAAGTGGTTATACATAAAAATATTTTCGTTAAAATATTTCCAATACAAAATATCCCATCAATCCAACAGAAAATATAAAAATACAAATTTTATTTTATCCAACTAGAGAGATTCTGTTTTGTTAATGACAATTAAGTTAATAAATAGTAAATACTAAGATGAAATTGAATAAAAAAAATAAATAAAAAAAAAATAATATTATTCCAGCTCCACTTACTTTAAAAATTTAAAGTTGTGCGTGTTTGCTATTGAGTGATGAAAAAGTAGTGTTTCGTCAAATTTTTTCACTGTGTTCAATATCATTCCGTCATAGTTCTTGTATACATATACCTATATACTAGACTAGGCTCCTTAAAAATAAATTTTTCTGACCTTACCTATAAAATATATTGTATATTTATTTTTTATTATAATTTATTTTATTCTACTCTTTGGATTTAGCGTAGGTATACATAGGTATACTAAATATTAAACTGTTATCACCCATATCTAACATTTTCTGTGTCAGCTAACTTTTATTTTAAAAAATCTTTAAAATGAAATTGCATTGAAGATATTTCTAAGATATTTTTACATAAAATATTTTTATTAGAGATATTTTGTCATGTCATCGGTAAACACAAACTTGTTTTTGATTATCATTTAATACAATTTCATATTTATATTTTTATACTTAAATCGAAAATTTAATGAAATTTAAAAACAATTAGTTTGTACATTCTTAGGATAGATATCTACAAAATAATTAAGTAACAAACAAGGTTAATTATATTTAACCTAAACATAGATAATTAAAATATAAGTTAAACAAACAATTATTGCAACTATTATTTATTTTATAACATGTATTAATCATAATAATGTATTTACACTTCTGTAACATAAATAATTATTATTTTGTAAGCTTATTACCGTAGTAGATGAAAGTGTAAATAAAAAAGTATATCAATACTTATTATGTGATCATACTTAAAATTGACTATGGTAGTATAAGTTTTTACGTTTTATATCAATATCAATGGAATCATATATTATATTAAAAATTTTAATTAAAAAATAAATCTATTTTTAAATAAGTGTTGGAAATTGTTTTTATTAATACAATGTAATAAACCATTATGTATTTATATAAATATAAATTCAGAAATAACTTATACGATGAAATTATAATTTTTTTTAAATATAATTAAATAAGTATTTAAAAACAAGCTTAAATAAAATATTATAATCTCGATTATCTTTTTTTTCAAGATTTTATAATAATTTTTACTACATAATTAATATTTGATATATGACATTATTATTTTCATTCAGAACATCAAATTTTTTAATTTAAAACAAATCTATCCAAAAACAAATAGAAAAAATAGTAAAATGTATGGAATTAAAACAAAATTTTACTAGCTAAAAGTAACTAATCAATAAATTAACTAATTCATTTTAAATAATAATACATTTAAAATTACTCACGAACCTAAGATTAAATTATCAATAAATAATGCTAAATAAGTGAACGATGAATGAATAATTTATTATGGAGTTAAAAATCTAATTTAAAAAAATTAAATTATTAGTTAATTAAACAATAAATATTAATTAATAAATATTAATTATACATCATTATTAATGTATGTAAAAAAAGTTATTTTTTATCTTAAACATGCATGGCAATGTATATGTTATGACAGTAAATAAAAATTAACATCTTAGTTGTTTCTTTTTTAAAATAATATATTTTTAGAATAAAAATAACTTGATTAATTATATTTTTATATACGTATCTACTTGTAAATATGACTGCCTATTTAAAAATATTATTTTACTAAAAACTGAATGTACTCCGATATTATAATACATAATGCAATTTTTTTAAGACTACTAAACTTTTTATATTATTTATCTATTAAATTAAATTGTTAATCGTATTATAAAATTATTAAAAAACACTTAAGCTCTCAATAAATTATACTATGATTGTAATACACTTAACATATTATTATGTATGTAGGTATTAATTTTATCCAATTTTTCGATATTTTAGAAATGCATAATATCATGGTTCACGACTTTCGATCAAGCTAATACTTATTAAAAAAAAATAATAATTATAGTAATAATAATAATAATTGATTGAAATAAAATTTTATATATACATGTTTTCGGTAAATAACTTTAATATATTTTAATAATAATATACATTTGAATTTAATTTAAAGTAAATTCTAACTGTCAATATGTTTTTAGGTAATCGTAAAATGTATACGGAACAAAATCAGCTTATTTGAACGCTAATCGTTAAATAGGTCATAACGTATATGTGGTATACTAAAGTAATCTATTTTTTTTAGATTATTTTTTCTTCTGTTATAGCTAAAATTCATATTGCTGACTACTAAATTTCTAATGCTCTGATCAGCATTGCCCAGCATATAAATACCGGTCAGCCATAACAATGAGGTACCAGTATCAGTCGAACAGCCAACATGAAGTCTTCATTAGTCATTGCATCCGTCCTATTAGCCGGTGTGGCTCTAGGAGTAAGCGCATACAGAATCAACGGCAACAACAACCAGGATGAAAATCGTAAGTACACGCTTTTAAAAAACAATCATTGTCCGAAAATTATCGAGATAAAAAAAGTATAGATTTATTAGAAGGGAAAAAGTATTTACTGATAATTATTGATTTTAGACAACCAGTGGTCCCGTTTCCAACAATCAGATTTAAGTGCTGAATCGCTTAATCAGGAATCGACCTTAAATAATCAAAAAACAGTCTATTCTACATTAAATTACAACAATCACCAATCCAACAAGCGCATCTCGAACAACGACAACTCCGAATCGACTTTTGCCGACCGTCAATACCAGAACAACAAATACGATGAGACCCGTTTAAGTTTCAATGAAAACCAACAACAGCAACAGTATGGAAGCCAAGACCAAAGTACTAGTGGTCAGTTCAATGGACTCGCCAAGAAAATCGCCGACAAAGCCGCCGCTATTCAACAAATCGCCGTCAACCACAACATCGCCGACAGCGTCAATTACTTGAACGGAGAGTTGGACGTCGCCAGAGACTCCGTCAAACTGTCCGCAAACAGTTTCGTAACGTTTTACAACACAACCATGAAGAACCTCGACAGCGGTGATTTGAAATACATGTACATGAGCCCCGAAAAGGATACCGTGTTCGCTCAGTACTATTTCAACCAGATCGAAACAGTCGGATCTTTCAAATCGGACGTTCGCAACGCTCGTTCGGGTTACTACACAATTTTCATGAACAACGTGTACAGTAATTTGACGGCTGGATTTTATGACGACAAACACACCGTAGTTAGGTCAGCAAAATTCCAAAACGCCGATGCTAACATCAAGACCCAAGAAGGTTCAGAAACACAGGCGTTCAATCCAGCTCTGCAAAGATTTTTGGGAGTGTTAGCCAAAGCCGTGTCCAACGAAGTGAAGACTTCCGCCAAGAACGCTGCGTTCGTTCAGATTAAAAATGAAATCCGCAAACCAATCGTTTCTCACAACACAGAGAATAACAAATTATTCGACTTGATATGGCAGGAAGACAACGTTGCTATGGAAATGCCCAATATCGGATTCCAGGACTCAAAATTGGCCTCCGCTACCGAACAGTTATTCAAATCGATGACTTTCCAACGGAAATCCCAAGACACTTACACAATGTGTTACAACTTCGCTCTCGACAACCTGGAATGGATTTCCCCTTTGACCGTCACGTCAGCTGGCAAGAGAACAACCACCCCTCCTACAAAATTCAACGTTGAGAAAATCAACATCCAAGTCTCTTTTGACAAGTCATCTTTCGACCAACAGCAGTCATGCAACAAGATCTCCGCTAACGCCTATGTGCGAGGTCTAAACTTCAATTTGGACAACAATCTTCAGTCTGAAGTCGTGTCCAAAATCGAAAATAACCTCGAACGTTTCATTCAACACTCATTGGGATCCTACATCCAAACAGCTTTGAAACAAATTGTTTGCAATAATAGTTATTACAAATACTAAATTTATTTATTTACTTATTTTGTAAATTTAAATTTTATAAACATGTTATAGAGTAGAATACTGAATAGTAGAAACACATAATTATTAGTCTTATGCAAGTAGTACTATAATATATTTATATATAATGTTTATTTATAAATATATTTTAATTAACTGAAAACTCAATTCAACACAATGACTAACACATTAATTATAAACAATATAATCAAAAATGTTGATATTGTTGTTTTATTTTTCCAGGGTATTTATGATTAACAAAAAAAATTAAACAACATCCTAGTAAATTATTTTTTCTTATAAAAAAATATCACTAATGAGTATAACAATTACAGAAACAGCATAAAAATATATTATTTTATTATTATTATATTTTTATAATAAATCGGTAATATAAAATGTTTTAATTTAATGAGTAAATGTCATATTATGTATTAAAACTTAACATAATAATATAATACATAATAATACAACCATTAATTTTAGAATATATTAAAATTTAAAATTAAAATAAAATATATTTTAAAATCAATGATTTAACGAGTATAAAGTGCAATATAAGTGTCATATTTGGTTAGCTTAATTTATATTTTTTATGTCTGAAAATGTTAAAACAAACATTTTAATTATGGGGAAATTCATAAAGTACAATTGTAAATCAAATAGTAGTTCAACAGGTCTGATAGAATTATACATGCAGTGGTGTTTATAATAAACAAATAAAAGTGAAAGTCTAATCCTAATGTATCATTTTCGCCTAATTTAACGTGCGTACAATTAAAGTATACTCTTAAACAATATGACATACAAATGTGAAAACAAAATTAAAGCAAATTAAAAGTTGATATACATCTCCGTCACGTATCACTTTTAATCGTCCTCAACAATTTACGCATTAGACAAATAATAATTTGTTATAGTTCGTTTTGATTTTATTCAAAATCATTATTTTTTGTATAGGTATCTACAATTGATATTGACATAATATTATAAATAACATAAATGCTGTAGACGTTTTAAGTTTTCTTTAGTTTAGCTTTATCTTTAGTTTCAACAGCATACTTGCTATTATTTTTTTTTTAATTACATTTTATAATATAGAGTGAATATATAATATTTCGTTAAATTTTATCAATTCAGTTGTCTAATAGAAATCGTCGAGTGCTTTGTTTGTGCTTGTATGTTTTACCGTTGTGATTGCTTCGATGTTTTAACATATCATTTATTCAGTGAACCTATACACTCTAAAAAAATTTCTTGATAATGAACACTACAAAACTATTGAGTACTTAAAAACAACTCATTGGGATTTGAATAGATATTAAGTTTTTGCATGTCTAGTTAAAATAAATTTACTTATTCTTTATTACCTAATATCTCATAGGTAGTTATTTAAAAATACACTTCAAGTCATATTTTTGAAATATACATTGGTCGTGGTTTCTTCTATTTTATATAAATTCATATACCTAATGTAGTTTTCTGGTAACTAAACCTTTAAAACAAATTACCAATGATTATATAATTTTATTATGTATCATAATATTATTATTATAAACATGTGTAACAGCTGACAAAAAAATAAAAAAATATATATTAAATATATTAAATGTATAAAAATAATGTTTGCCAATTATATTTTATTCTCATGGTTTTGAAAATTATATGAAATAAGCCATATTTTAAATGCTGAGTGGAGCAAAGAATGATTTGATTTACAATATATTATATGTTTTCTTAAATTATTTTTGTATATAAAAGCTTTTTTTCTAGTAGAAAAATGATCGAATCATACATTTTTCAAGAAGATTTATGGTTGAAAATTTGAATGTAGTTGTTACTTTTGAATAATCTAAATTTAAAATACTTAAATTTTTTAAAATAGTGATAAATTACAAAAATAAAATAACGTTATTTGATTACCAAAAAAATAAAATTGTCAAAATCACCTTTCATTGTATACAACGGTTTATCATCAGATCAAGTTTAAAATATCCATACAGTAATCTACTCAATGACAATGTACACACAATCACATACTATACAACAGAACGTACACCTATTTGACAACTTTTTCAAACATACTATGTTTACTTTATAATAATATTTTATAAATTATTTGTTTGACAGTTTTCTAGTTACAGTAACAAAAAATAAAAATATACCTACATAATAATAGTTTTTTTTTTTTTTTTTTTTTTAATTTTATATTTCTTAATGAAATTAATATTATATTACTAAGTATCTGCCAATTATTTACTATTCTAAATTCTTAAATTATTCATTAAAATCAAATTTTCAATTATTTTATAAAGGGAAGAGGGTCGTTAGTGGCTACTAATTTTATGCTTTCCTATGCTGTGTGTATAAACTATGAACTGTTTATTATATAATAACAAATAATGTTTGTGATAAAAAGTACATTCAAATATTAAAAACATAGATAGTGTAGATAACAGAATGTGTTTATGCAGATTTATTTGCAAATTCAAATATAAGCGTTATAAAAAAAAAAAAAATTAAGCACCTTCAAAAATCAAAAAAATTCACAAAACGTTCACTCAAATCTCAAAGAAAATGTTTTATTTGTCAATTTATAACTACTGTTCAACGATTATAAAGATAAATTGTATAATGTAAACTGTACGTATAGTAAGACTAATAAATAATAGAAAAGCTTATTTTAACAGTCTAGGATAAGTAAGAAAGAATAATTAATTTATGCAATGAATATAATTTATTTATTTATTGATTAAGTTATCTACTATACTTAATCAGTATTCAAAATTTTCTAGGTGACATTACTTTTATATTTTATCTTATCTATGAACTAAATAAAAATGTGTTTATCAACTGAAAATTTTTACAATATTATGTAAGAATGTAAAATATGTAAGTAAATATACTATACCTGCACTGAAAGGATTGGAGAGATAATTAAAATAAAAAAGTTTATATTTAAAAAAATAATTGTTTTTAATTAAGCCACAGTTAATAATTTCTCAATAGCAATTAAAATATGGATACCACACCTATTGTTTTATTTTATAACATCATTTTTAAGTTGATACTACCATAAAGTTGGTGGTACGATAGTAATGACATCACTTTTAAGTAATTTTTTTTTAATTCTCAGTGGTGAGAGCGAGATATAAGATTCCATTATCATAGTAATACGAACAGATAATATAACATTTAATATTATGTTCAAACAATAAAATACATGATGTATACATAAGATTAGGTGAAATGGCATTTAAATTAAATCTTAATTGTGCACCTCGATGTTTATTTTTAAGCATCTTCACACGATATTACAATGTAAACAATGTATGAAACATTATAATTTAAATTACTAGTATCTTTAAACAATAGTTGTAAAATAAACATACATTACTGTTTTTTTTTTTTTTTTTACAACACTACGCACACTATATCTCGCAATAACTAATATTTAAGTACGAGTGTTAAAAAAATAAAAATAAAATATCAATGCGTAAATATATTTTATTCGTATATTAAATAACATTTGAATAATAATTAATTAACGACATTAATAGTTATTGGGTTAAAAAATTAAAATAAACTAGCGAGTCTCTAATTTCTAACAATACATAAGGGCGTATGTAATTTTTTCCAAAAAAAAAAAAATAATATATATGTCATTTGCGCCACATCTAAAAATTTACTTTGGTAATTTGCGCCAAATAAAACTAAATAAAAAGGCATCATGTAATCTGTATTACCGTGTACCTACAAAATTGTAATTTGCGCCATTTTTCACCTTATTAAAATTGTAATTGGCGCCACTTATATTAAAATTATAAATAAATGTATGTAAGTAAAACAAACTCCATGTATATTAAAATAAGTAAATTTTCGTTTAGTAATAAGACATATAAAAATTGTATTGAACGCGCGTCGGTACGTATTATTTTATATCCTATATGCGATATCAGTAAATTCCAACTGCAATTGAAGTTGAAAGTGTGACGCAAATTACATATTCAATTCATTTACTGTCGTGGCGCAAAATACCAAAATTAATTTGTTTATGTGGCACAAAATACTGTTATATTTTTATAATTTGGCGCAAATTACATACGTACTTAAATGCACCTATTCGTGACGCAAATTACAAGTAATAAAATTGGCGCAAAATACCATCTCCCATACATAATTTTACATTTAAACGGATTCTTTTTTTTTATTTGCCCCAGGGGTATCCCTGTCCTATTTGACATTTGTTTCATGCACTATATTCAAATTGATTTATTTTTCACGTCTGAATAATTATTCAACTTTGAAACAAACCCGCTGTTAGTTTTTTGGGATTATAAATCCATATGGATTGCAGTATCCGATCCCATTATAAAATGTTTTTACAGTTGATTTAATTTTGTTTTGTTTTTTCAAAATACATCCACCCATGTTTCTACTAACTATTTATTTTTTTTTCGTATTGATTTTCGTACTCAAATTATTTTATTTTTTTCACTTTTGCCAGTTTTTCTCAAGCGACCTCTGAATAATCATTATTAAACTAATTTAATACCTAGATGATCATTTATTAGGTTTTAAAACAGAATAGACTGCTTCTACTGCCACATTATTTTGCCAGTGCCCCCGACACAGTAATGATAATACAATACCTAATAATGAATTTTTTAATTAAATTATTTACTCAATACCTAATAATAAAATGTTTTTAAAGTATGTACTGTGTAATTTATGGATGCATAATTTTAAAAGTTTTAAAAATATGTAATAATTTATTCACAGTAAAAGATATTTTTTATATTTTCCATAAAAACATGAATAATTTCTACTTTACAGTCATCATTATCATTAGTTACTTTTACGACCTCAGTGCTACCGTCTAATCGTACGACTCTTTTCTGGACTTAATTAAATTCAATAGTGAGTCTTAATACCAGCGAACTGTACCTATACGTCGATATCAAAATAATTATTAACTATGTTGATAAAACGACTTTATCTGTATTAGTAGATCAACACAATGTATTATTATGTATATTCTTTTAATCTAAACCCAAATTATTATAGTTTAATGAA